AGGGAATGTAAAAAAGCTTACGCCTGATTTTGAACAGTTACTACAGTTAAAAGCAGCACAAAACACCATACTTGTTGATGTTTTGAAACTGCAGAATTTTGTAATTCTCGCTCTTCTCGCGGACTCGCGCGTGTATGTGACGTCATATGTGGTGAGCTTCCCATTTTCGACAATTTTCCGAAGTTTGCCCGAACGCTTCCGTTTGTGGAAGCGAAAAAAAGGCGGTTTTCAAAGTCGAATATCTCGACGACGTTTTGTCCAAATCGTTTCAAACTTAAGAATATGATTATTCATAATATTCCCTATTATTTCGACTTAAAACTAATCTTACTAAAATTTTGTTGCATTTGACCTTTAAAGAGATTTTGCAATGTTCTGCATCAGTGCGCGCGCTAATGACGTGAGAAACTATGCGCAGAACGTATGCGCAGTAACAATAGGAGGCACCGTCCTTAATTGGGACGTATAAATTTGGGCTTACTTACAGAGTCAAAAAGGCTGAAGCGTTTTGAAATTCCTTGACTTTTGCAGGATATAACTTCTCATAGGCTACGGCTCCAATGTCAACCAGGAGTCTTTCAATACAAATAAAGTGGCGGCGTCATTTAATATTCGCGTCAGATCTGTATGGGCGTTTACAAATGTCCGCCTGCGGCTCGCCATTGTAAATGCACATACAGATCTGCATGCATGCAGCTCATATTGTATCTATGACTTAATCTCACTCAATTTGTATTGTCTTTGTTAGGCTTGTTTTTATATTTTTCATACTTTTTAACATGTAAATTAAATATACATTATTCTATTTTAAATTTTAATATTTTAAATGCACGAACGCTTTTCAACGAGTATCTCCCATGCTCGTCTGCGCTTCGTGCATAAATAGACTCTTCCATCACAACATGACCAAAACTAAAATGGTACAATTGATTGAAACAGCATTGGATCATGCTTGAAGTGTTGAAATAATCTAGCAATCGACATTTCGCAGATTTTTTTTCTGCAAAATGAAAAGGGACACCTAAAATATAAAAATACTCGATTTGCTGCAAAATTGCACTATTATATCATGCTTGATGCTCCAGCTATACAGTCGAACCTCCACTAAAGGCCACCTCTCTATAGCGGCCACCTCCCTACAGTGGCCACCTCTCTACTACGCTCATTGAAGACCGTTGTGTTTCTAGAAGTTTTGGTCATGTGAAGCAATATCGGCTTCATCGCTATCAGCAAAAAAAAAGTAAAATGGAGAACTCTAGATAAGATCGATGTGTTGATTTCAACGCAAATAGGCCTATTAAGTAAGTTTTTGCAGCTGATGTCATTCCTTTAGGTAAAATTAGCTTTACAGAAGGATACTTGTAAGTCATGCACACCCGCATTAGTAGAAAAATTTGATCGCAAATGAGTAGAAAAAGCGAAATGATCAAAACTTCTCACGTTCAGAATTTGTTTGTTTTTTGTTAAAATGGAGAGAATCAGTAAAGGAAGTGATCTATGAAATAAAAAACAGGGGTCACCATGCATCCAAGAGAGTAAAATCCTCGCCAAGTTATAGCCCATTTCAAAAAAGAGTGATAGCCTGGGATCGAGAGTGGCCGCGCGAACGTTTGTGGGATTGTTTGGGTCTAAATGCACGCGCAAATGGCGAATTTTATTGCGCGACCAAGGTAGGAAAAAACCGTAAACAAGTAGTTAAAATGCGCAACAATATTATACTACAGCTGTTTATAAAGAAAGAAATACTATATTTCGGGCATCTGTAGTCTTTCCGTATTAGGTTTTTTCTTCAAGAATGTTATTGTAGATTTCAGGGAAAATAACACTGCAATCAACTAAAATAGATACGTTATTTCACGCTAAAAAGTCATCTATAAATTCGTCGTCTGCGCGTGCAGTTTGCCTTCGTGTCCCCCAAAACGATCCCACAAACCCTCGGGCGGCTTCGGGCGGCCACTCAGCCCACTCTCGATCCCAGGCTGTCACTCTTTTTCGAAGTGGGCTATTGAAGCGGCCTCCAGTACTATATTTGTCAGTTCCATTCTCAGCGCGCGCGCACTGGATGCATGACGTGGCGCGCGCGTGCGGCATGAATAGCATGCACAGTAATAAGATGCGCACTAGCAATGGGCGCGAACGTCCTTAAGTCTAAAAAGTAGCGCTAACAATGACTAACCACCTAAAACGTATCTTAGGATTTGAGTTAGTCTGCAGTCTGCATTTCAATGACCGCAGGGCAACATTTTCAACATCAAGACGCAACGATCGCAAGAGTGGTTTCCATATGATCGCAGCGATGAAGTAGAATCCCTTGAAGTTTCTACAGTGTTATCAATACTCATTTGTAACTTTAAAAATTGCATACGTAAATTAAACTCTTAACAACTTGAAATGCTTCACTAAGTCGCATCTGTGCTATGGCGTCATATCTTTTGTTGAGAATTGTTTGTTCCTCTTGAAGTACCCGAACACAGTCGTGACTGTGACACAGACGAACTACAGCAGTGGAATCCTATTTCTCGAACCTCCAAGGGAAACGAAAATTGGTTTGAGAAATCGGGAGTTCGAAATATCGGGGTACAATTACAATGAAACAAATCCAAGGGAAACGGCTTTTGGTTCGAGATATAGCGGGGTTTTTGAGAAATCGAGGGTTCGAGAAATCGGGCTTCCACTGTATATGCAGATCCGAAAATTACGCATATAGCTTTTAACAATGTTTTGAAATTTTAAAAACTGTTCTTGAAATGAAAACGTCGAAAATTATAGACAAACATAATCACCATGGTGATTAAAGAAACTCACCTCGTGGGACAAGTGAAAATGAATCAGCAATCCGCAGTACAGAACAGGGACTATCAAATGAAATGGATAATGATCAGAGAGAGTAGCGTTGAATTAATCAGGCTAACTAATTAATCCGGAAACGTCAAAACGAATGCAAATAATCTTCTACAATAAAACCTCCGTTGGTCAGTTGGTTGGGTTCACTGATTTTCTTTGTATTCTCCGCTGCGGGTCAGAAATCACTTATGGCCCATGCACGTCATATGTAGGGTAGCAAAAATAAGCCGATCTTATGTTCTTGTGTTGTTTGCAAACAACAGTGCGCCAAGATGTGATTAAATTAGTTCTAATGGTAGTTGTTATGATTAACAAGGTCACGTGACAGGTTCTGCAAATGGCCTATTCACTGTTTTCGTTTTAAAATGTTTTGACGACAACAACTGAGGCGCCAATACATAATGAGCCCTCCGGTAAAATGTGAATAGAGGGCGCGTTGGCCGATTTAGCATTTGGGAAGCAAATCAGTAGACCGGACCAAAATTGTCAACATCAAGATTAATTGACGTACTGCAGTTGCGGTCATATACATTGGGCCTACACGACTCTCATCTACGTGTTTTAGCCAAAAGCTTAGCTCTCACGAGTATATTATTTCCATACCAGTACAATCATCAATTGCCTTAAGCCTGGTTTCCATATAATCGCAACGATCGCAGAGATCGCAGAAATAGTTGCCAACCTCGTCCCCAGGGCCTACTCGGTATTCAAAATGGCAGCGAGAGAAGAGCCTGGCAAAGGCTGGGTCATGTGACCTTAAAAATCTCCAAATATATTGGATATATTAATTAATTCAAAATGGCGGAAGACTCACAATTGGTTGATTTTATGTCACGTGACCCCGCCTTCTCTCTGTAGTAATTCTGTAGTATTGGCGCTTCATATTCTCTCAATATTAAAGTGTTTTGATTTGCATAACTTAATTAATTTTTTCAAAACTTTAGAAACCCAAGGCCGAAAAGTCAGTAGTAACTTTGAAGCCTGCACTGCCCATTGTGGGGAGCAGGGATGGGGCAGCAGGGATGGCGCAGCAGGGATGGCGCAGCAGGGATGGCGCAGCAGGGATGGCGCAGCAGGGATGGCGCAGCAGGGATGGTGCAGCAGGGATGGCGCAGCAGGGATGGCGCAGCAGGGATGGCGCAGCAGGGATGGTGCAGCAGGGATGGCTCAGTGGTGAGAGCGCTTGCCTCCCACCAATGTGGATTTGACTTGATATGATTTTAAACAAACGTATCCATTTATCTATTGGCAAGTCAAATAGGAGACGAACTCCATAAACGAAATATTAAATCAAAACACATTTTCAAGGTCAAACGAAAATCGCTTTATTTCGTCACCCTATGTTTCTTTAAAAAAAATGGAATACATCGAATTGCTTAAACTGGATATCAAACTCATATATATCGCTTGATGCCGTTTTCCATCTCCCAGTTTACACCTTCAGGTACTCGGGTTTCTTCAGTTTATAAAAGCGTTTCTCCAACATTGGAATCAGCTGCAATCTTTTATCCCAGGTACCGGTGTCGCGGTAATCACCAGCTTCCATTTCAAATCCTCTCTTGAATCTGTGGAAAACATAAGGTGCATGGGTCGTAAAGGTTTTAGGGTGTTGATTATAGGTGTTGATTTTAGTGTAAAAGTTGAAAGTAATTACATTCGCCGTTTTCAACACTAAACATGTTCAGGAGCCCATCACTAGGAGCGAGCAACTCCGACACTACGCCTATGTCACAGCGTTTTTACAGACCGTTTATTTTTAGACTACTTTTTCCCGGGAAAATGTGTTTCTGGTCCCATGTGTAATGTGAAATGAAATAAAGACAATTAAAACGATGGCGACCTAATTGCGGCCTTTGTTACGCGGTAACGCCAATTAATGATTACAAAGGGAAAACGTTTGATTGTCTGGCGGGAATACGAATTCGCGGGAAAAGCGAATCTAAAAATAACCTGGTCTGTAAAAACGCTGTGACACGAATCCAGTCCAGTTGCTCGCTCCTGGTGATGGGCTCCTGACATGTTCCATTACTCAATTTTTTGTTAAATCTTTCACTGCGATGATCTACCTTCATAATATCATTTTTCATATATTCTCATTCATTTATTCTCTATCTACGGGTACAATTACGAACTCACAAAGTGACCATCTCCCAGCAGGCTTGGTAGCTCAGCTGGTAAGAGCATTGCTTCGGCATCGTAAGGTCCTGGGTTTCGAATCCCGTTCGAGGTTTCCGTCACTTACAACTGCTTAAGTTGTAAATCTTTCACTTTAATGATCTACTTTCGTAATACATCTTGTTCAGTTGATCATATTCCAGGCAATAGAGACACAAACGAGTCAAGTTGTTTCGTAAAACCAGACCTTTTAACTGGTTCTTTGTACTATTGAATGGAACAAAATTAGCGATGTCGGTCGGCTTCTTCAGTCGCTTCTTCAGTCGCCTTCAAAATTCTTTGCTCTGCCATATTATTGCATACCGAGGTGTCCTTTGTTTCCTACGCATCCAACCACCTCCTTCCCAGGGTCTTCTCATTATTGTAAGATGGCGGCTGACGGAGAGAAGACCCTGGCAAAGGCTGTGTCACGTGACTTAAAATCAACCAATGGCGAGCCCTCTGCAATTTTGAATTAATTAAAATATCCAATATATTTGGAGATTTTTAAGGTCACGTGATCTGGCGTTTGCCAGGGTATTCTCTCGCTGCCTTTTGGAATACCGAGAAGGCCCTGGGGACGAGGTTGCTTTGGTTCCTTTTAGTAGGGGAGAAGCGTTGCGTGACGACCCATCTAACGGCTGCCGTGGAGACTATTACCAAGGTGGTTAGAGAAAATAAGAACCCTACCCCCCCCCCCCCCCCCCCTCCCCCGCCCACTACAAACCTTTTGCCGCTGTGCAAACCTGATGGCGGTGGCGGTATTTTCAAACCCATTGGCGGAAGCGGTGGTAAACTCGCTATCGGTTCCATCAAACACAGAAGTAAAGCAAACATGGCGAAGAAGCTGATCCAACTCATGGCGATATCAATGGTAAGGTGCCTTGTTGTTAGAAGTAGCTCTGAAAAACAATTTCATTGAGCTGTTATTGGGGTCGTGTAAAGAGGCCCTTAGAAAAGACCAAATTTCTTGTTCATTCAAGCGTCCAACACCCAAGAAGGCTATGGGGCTGTGTGGAAATCTTGCCCTTGGAATCGAAGACGATGGCGACACCGAGTAATTGCCATCCAGTAACGTTTTTTTTTTTATTTTCATGCAAATCCGAACAAATCCTAACAAATCCAATATCAAAATATCCACTAAATTTTTCAAACCTTCAAACCGCCATAAAATCTTACTATGGATTTTCAGTGGTCTCCAAATTGGCAACCTTACTAATTTCATCATGCTCTTTCCATTGCTGGCATCCATTTTGTACCACCACTATTTTTGATTGACAAGATTGTGCAAGATCCGTCACGTGACAAGATTATGCAAATTGTACCGGTACAGGTTGGATCCGTGCAGATACAGTTTGGATCCGTGCAAGTTTTACACTTGTTCACACTGTCCCGGTATTGTATTTTCATTTAAATGTTCGCACTGTACCGGTCCACAATCGTTTTTATCATTATACTCATGCGCAGAACAGTCAAGACAGATTGAAATCATGCGCAGAATGCCCGAATCTTTTATAAATGGCGTTCCGTTCAACCGTTCAACCTGTCCACACTGTGCCGGTATAACTTTAGACCGTTACGGATCCAAAACTGTACCTGCTCCTGGAGCAGATACAAAACTTGCACGGATAGGCGGTCCGAAATTAAACCTGTCCGGTAGCAGATATAGTGTGAACGAAAGGGCTATCCGTGCAAATTTTGTACCTGATCCAAAGTGGATCCTGTAAAATGCGAACGTAGCTTCAACTGTTCTCTAAAAATGTTTGGACGACAGCAGGGCGCCACAGCTCTCCATTCAATAAGTTATTTCAGTTTTTAACAACACGCCAGATTACAGTTACTTACTACGCCCGATTGTTATTTATAGGCGATAGTATATTTTATCCCTTTATTACCGCGATGAGGTAGAATCCTTTCAGTTGCAGATTCTACAGTGTTACGTTATCAATACTCATTGGTAACTTTAAAAATTGCATACGTAAATTAAACTCTTAACAAATGCTTCACTAAGTCGCATCTGTGCTATGGCGTCATATCTTTTGTTGAGAATTGTTTGTTCCTCTTGAAGTACCCGAACACAGTCGTGACTGTGACACAGACGAACTACAGCAGTGGAATCCTGATTTCTCGAACCTCCAAGGGAAACGAAAATTGTTTGAGAAATCGGGAGTTCGAAATATCGGGGGTACAATTACAATGAAACAAATCCAAGGGAAACGGCTTTTGGTTCGAGATATAGGGTTTTTGAGAAATCGAGGGTTCGAGAAATCGGGCTTCCACTGTATATGCAGATCCGAAAATTACGCATATAGCTTTTAACAATGTTTTGAAATTTTAAAACTGTTCTTGAAATGAAACGTCGAAAATTATAGACAAACATAATCACCATGGTGATTGAATGAAACTCACCTCGTGGGACAAGTGAAAACGAATCAGCAATCCGCAGTACAAAACAGGGACTATCAAATGAAATGGATAATGATCACAGAGAGTAGCGTTAAATCAGGCTAACTAATTAATCCGGAAACGTCAAAACGAATGCAAATAATCTTCTACAATAAAACCTCCGTTGGTCAGTTGGTTGGGTTCACTGATTTTCTTTGTATTCTCCGCTGCGGGTCAGAAATCACTTATGGCCAATGCACGTCATATGTAGGGTAGCAAAAACAAGCCGATCTTATGTTCTTGTGTTGTTTGCAGATGATAGTTGTTATTATTAACAACGTCACGTGACAGGTTCTGCAAATGGCCTATTCACTGTTTTCGTTTTAAAATGTTTTGACGACAAACAACTGAGGCGCCAATACATAATGAGCCCTCCGGTAAAATGTGAATAGAGAGCGCGTTGGCCGATTTAGCATTTGGGAAGCAAATAAGTAGACCGGACCAAAAATCCAAAATTGTCAACATCAAGATTAATTGACGTACTGTAGTTGCGGTCATATAAATTGGGCCTACACGACTCTCATGTACGTGTTTTAGCCATTTATAGAAGCTTAGCTCTCACGAGTATATTATTTCCATACCAGTACAATCATCAATTGCCTTAAGCCTGGTTTCCATATAATCGCAACGATCGCAGAGATCGCAGAAATAGTTGCCAACCTCGTCCCAGGGCCTACTCGGTATTCAAAAAAATGGCAGCGAGAGAAGACCCTGGCAAAGGCTGGGTCATGTGACCTTAAAAATCTCCAAATATATTGGATATATTAATTAATTCAAAATGGCGGAAGGTTCGCCATTGGTTGATTTTATGTCACGTGACCCAGCCTTCTCACTGTAGTAATTCTGTATTATTGGCGCTTCATATTCTCTCAATAAGTGTTTTGATTTGCATAACTTAATTAATTTTTTCAAAACTTTAGAAACCCAAGGCCGAAAGTAGTCATTTTGAAGCCTGCACTGCCCATTGTGGGGAGCAGGGATGGCGCAGCAGGGATGGCGCAGCAGGGATGGCGCAGCAGGGATGGCGCAGCAGGGATGGCGCAGCAGGGATGCATGGCTCAGTGGTGAGAGCGCTCGCCTCCCACCAATGTGGACTTGACTTGATATGATTTTAAACAAACGTATCCATTTATCTATTTGGCAAGTCAAATAGGAGACGAACTCCATAAACGAAATATTAAATCAAACACATTTTCAAGGTCAAACGAAAATCACTTTATTTCGTCACCCTATGTTTGTTAAAAAAAAATGGAATACATCGAATTGCTTAAACTGGATATCAAACTCATATATATCGCTTGATGCAGTTTTCCATCTCCCAGTTTACACCTTCAGGTACTCGGGTTTCTTCAGTTTATAAAAGCGTTTCTCCAACATTGGAATCAGCTGCGATCTTTTATCCCAGGTACCGCGGCGGTGTCGCGGTAATCACCAGCTTCCATTTCAAATCCTCTCTTGAATCTGTGGAAAACATAAGGTGCATGGCTCGTAAAGGTTTTAGGGTGTTGATTATAGGATGTTGATTTTAGTGTAAAAGTTGAAAGTAATTACCTTCGCCGTTTTCAACACTAAACATGTTCCATTACTCAATTTTTTGTTAAATCTTTCACTGCGATGATCTACCTTCATAATATGATTTTTCATATATTCTCATTCATTTATTCTCTATCTACGGGTACTGTCAATCCGGTTTCACTTCAATGATCTGCTTTCGTAATACATCTTGTTCAGTTGATATTATTCCAAGCAATAGAGACACAACGATTCAAGTTGTTCCGCAAAACCAGACCTTTAACCCTTTCACTCCCAGAGTCAAACCTTGAGTCAATAAATGTGGTTGAACCGTTTGACTGTGGATGAAACCCTAGTGTGCAACCATTCAAATGAAAGCTATTGAGCAGTGAATGAAATTCAAACATTTTTCCTCAGTTTTGAACTTAGTACTCTTGGGAGTGAAAGGGTTAACTGGTTCTTTGTACTATTGAATGGAACAAAATTAGCGATGTCGGCTTCTTCAGTCGCCTTCAAAATTATTTGCTCTGCCATATCATTGCCTGCCGAGGTGGGCTTAGCCTCCTACGCAGCCTTTATTTGGCTTCTTTTAGTGGGGAAGAAGCGGTAGAGTGACGACCCAACTAACGGCTGATAAGAACTCATACCCATTGTAAGGCCGTGATGTAGATAAAATAAAGCTTACTGTAGTTAACAGTTAACACACTGAATCTTACTACCTTTTGCCGCTGTGCAAACCTGATGGTCCCCGTGGCCGTTGACTCGCTATCGGTTCCATCAAACACAGAAGTAAAGCAAACATGGCGAAGAACCTGATCCAACTCATGGCGGTATCAATGGTAAGGTGCCTTGCTGTTAGAAGTAGCTCTGGGTAAAAAAAAATTGAGTTTTTATTGGCGGTTTTCATCAACAGTTACAAAAACCGTTTCCTTCCACGATCAACATCAGAAAATTAACAGGTAAAAGAACAGACAGAAACAAGCGTTTTGTCCAAATTATAGCCTTTGTAGCGATATTCATAACCGAGTTATTACGAAAATATCCTCTAAATTGTTCAAACTTTCAAACCGCCATAAAAATATTACTCTTGATGTTCAGTGGTCTCCAAATTGGCAACCTTACT